TGAGCCTTGAGATCGAGTTTTAAACTGAGAGCAATTACATTTTCCATGAAAAATAAATAAATTTAAATTCAGTCCAAGAGAAGGAAATCCATTTTGTCTTACAAATTCCATTACTAAATAATACAGCATTCAATAAACCGTACATATTTTTATAGGGAAATAAACTGTGCGTATCTTGATGCCACATCATAAAATCAATAAACCTACAAACAGAATAAATAGTAACCAATTCAACAATGGTTTGTATAATTCTACTTACCTGGGAAAGATCATACGAAGGCGTAACTCCGCAACCACAACCACACAGAGCAAGCCAGGAGTAAGCACATGTATCTTGTGTTTGCGCCAAATATATCGTTGTTTCGGTCCAATCATCGGTACTTGTCCATGAAGCATATCTTTCTTCTTGTACAGACATAATATCCTTGTTTTACAAGCTTAGTATGGCAAAATTTTATCTTATTTGTAGAAACATGGACGAAGCAAGAACCAACGAAGGTGACTGAACTTGAGATGAATAATTATCAGCATCAGCACGTGCACTTGGAATAATTTGCAATGTAAATTTCAAACAGAGATCAGTTTCGCGCCACAAACAATCGCGTTTGGAAGATTGTCTTACAACCCCGGGGGACGGGTGGGGTGGTACTCCATTTATTATATGGCAAACTGGTCCACGATGAAAAGGAGCATTCTGATTGGTTCCCTGAGCGGTCCGAATTTTGCAATACGGACCGCTAAGATGGACCGCTCACGAACTCATTTCGCCGAATTCCTTTTATGAAACATTGAACAAAAGAAAACTGTTTTCTATTAAGTAAAAACATTTTTCCTCATGTCTGGCGGACAAATTTGCTTAAACTTTTCGCAAAGCGGCCTGAAAAATGCAAGAATATGCTTAGCTTTGGCGCGCGCGCGTTAGCCGAGAATGGTTGCATTAATTTATTAGCAAATGTTTAAAAAAGCCATTATAATAAAAACTTTATTGAACTAGCTTGTTCGGTCCGTATTGGGAAATATTGGTCGAGTTCTTTTTTTGCAAGTTTATGGACCTCGCCTTCGGCTCGGTCCATAAACTTGCAAAAAAAGAACTCGACCAATATTTTCCCAATACGGACCTCACGCTAGTTCAATAACATCAATATATAGCCTACAGGGGTGTGGCCGGGCATTTTTTCCCTTTAAAGTCATCATGATAGGGGCTATGAAGCGAGCGCCGACGCCGCGAGCCTCTAGAGGGGTCCCAGAAAATTTTGAAATCTAGAGGCTCGGAAATGCTATTTTCAGCATTCTCCACGAGATGTGTCATCAAAAAATCGATCCCGATCAAGTGTAGAATGACAGGTATTTGTAGTGCTTACCTAATGCCTCATAGCTTACCTCAGTATTTTGTTGACGTATTTGCTCGCCAAAGTGGTTCCTTTATATCCCGGCGTTACATATATCCTGGCCTTAGCCAGTACACTAAACAACGTTTTATAAAAGCTCGACGTGTGCAGCAAGGAATATCAGCGCAAGGACCAAAACTGGTAAGGATAAGTGAGCAAAGAAACAGTAGAAGAAATTACGGACTTTCGGCTACTGTAAAAGAAACTCACGGAAATTCCGTGAGGCTTGCTACGCCCCTAGCCTACACGAGGATGTGCCGCCCAATAGAGTATGGGTTTTCGACCTAGATTCATAAACAGGGTATGGGTCTTTGACTCGATACTGTCATAGACAGTGTACATGGGTGCCCTTCAGTAACTAAGGATTGTGATCCAAATATTTTCCCCAATATTTTCTGCAGGCCCGGCTGCCGTACGACCTTGTGTCCGACAAAAACGATATCAATGTCGACAACGGATCACGGATCAATGCTCAAAAACATGTCATAAACAGGGTGGGGGAAGTGCGTATTTTTTGTCATAAACAGCGTTAGGGTTTGACAGTCTGGGCAGCACACCCCTACTCAAACTTGGGTCGAGTACTCCCCGGGTCTTATATTTGTTAAACTTTAAGTCGAAATAAAAGAACTTCAAAGACTAACGAGGTCGGTAGTGGTTGGGAAAATATTTGGCTAAGGTGATAATAGCTCAACGTAGGAGCGGCTAGGCTCGATTTCCGCCGATCTCTCGAGTCCGGTCTTCGTTCGGGGGGGATGAGCGTGGGCTCATTTTCCCGAACAGCGGCTGGTAATGGAGCCTAAGGAGCGGCAAATTAAGAAGAAAGCTCGGGTGGAGTAGGAGCTGCTTGCTGTGTAGAAAGGAGCGGATTACAAACTCAGTTGGAGGAACAAGTGACAGTTTGGCAAATCTTCGTGGAAGCATCGAAACTTTTTATCCAATCAGAAACTAGCGCGAGCACTCATGAGTACTTCAAAAGCAAATACGTCAGGTTGCTTAGCAACTTTGGGGACGAACATCGCAGGCTCAGTCCCGTCTCGGAATTTCATCATCAACTGGTACTTGTTTCCCCGACTGAATTTCCTTTTTGCCTCTTTTTCAAAACGAGTCCTGGTGCACATCCTTTCATATGGAAATAAGTTTTACGGTTATTGTCTTGCAAATCAAACTATAAATTTCCATATGAAAAGTCGTGCACCAGGAAAAAGGAGATTCGGATTCTTACTAGCCAATCAGAAAACACTCTGAGTCAGTTTCCCACCAACAGGAAACCCTCGGGTGTCCCTCGGGTTCATTCAATTCTCCATGACGGGATTCAGACCACACATTTTTTAAAAGTTATTTTAAAATTGTTCAAAGCTTTTCTTTTGAATGCTGCCACCAACACAGTCTACTCAAGCTAGTCCCCCTTGCAAATGAGGTTGGCTGCATATACAGTAGCACACATGACCGAGGTTTAAAGGTGCTATGTCACAATATTCTAAGTCATTCTTGCGAAGTGCAAAATCACCTTCAAATTGAAGAAGGCCTCAAAATAATAGTTTACTAAGGTAGAAAACCACCAAAGATGTAATAATAAACCAAACAGGACAAGGATGGTTGAGGATGGAGAAGATTAAGACAGATTGCGAACGATGAACTTGAATTTTTTCAAGAACCAATTTTTTCAAGATGCACCATCCGTGACGTAGCTCCTTTAAACACACTCACTTGTAAATAAATTGAAGGATAAGTCAATATAATTTATAACTGTTTATTGTACAATATACTTTTATTAACAACTACTTTACAAGAAGTATACAATATAATGCAATCCAATGGCTTCTTTTTTCAAAGAAACATATCTTGGAAGTACTCTTCAAATTCCTCCTCCCTGTAAAAAGAACATAATTTTAATTACTCCTCAGTAATTGTACAATTTATTTATGTTTACCTAAGTAGAAGTTTAGACAAGAAGGTATTTCCCTGGCTGTTATGAGTTCAGACATTTTTTTTGCGAAATTTTTTCCTATTTCTCCCAGTTCCTGCCACTTTGGGAATCCCGTTTACCGCCCTCTCTTCTCCTGCCTACCGTAGACATCCCGCCCCCTTTACTTCTGGGTTCTCGCCTCCTGTCTCCTCCCCCCTGTCTCGCCCCTGTCCCCCCCCACCCCAATGAGCCATTCAAGAAATCTTATCAACAAAGTGAGCAGTAAATTTCAACATAATTAGTACCAAATGTGCATAGCATTTGATCTTCATTGGTATTGCCTGGTGGCTTGTAAGGTTAGTGCTTTACTCTGCATTCACAGCACAAAACAACTACGAATATGTCTAATCTTATTAATTGTCAGGTTTGCTGGAACAAATAACTTATTATTTTATACAAGTCCAGGAGGAAAGTGTCAGTGCAACCCATGACTTGATCTAGAGTCCCGGGGGGGGGGGGGGGGGTATTCCCTGAAAGTTTTGGTGGGGGTGTGCGGTCTGCTTCTTGAAACCCTTACCCTATTTCAGACCAAAATATGTAATTTTCCATACCCTATTTCGGACCTGACCCCCAAAAATCGATACCCTACTTCAGACCTATAAAATTAGTACAGGTGTCTAATACATGACTTCTGCTACCCAGGAATGGGTTCCATTTGCGCAAACATTTGAAAAGGGCTTCAAATTCCCCGATGTTTAAATGGAAAAAAATAGTTTCGTCTAAAAGCCAAACCAAATTCCAGGCCAGAGTGCACAAAACATACCCTATTTCAGATCAAAATGGCTCAAAAACCATACCCTTTGGGGCCGCACATACCTATATAGCTTCTATAAGGGAGTACCCCCCCCGGATCTAGAGTCTACTACAGCTGTAGGTCACCATGGCGATGTCTCTCATAGTCTTCTCAACACCAATAGACCTGAATATCCATTTATACACATGGTCTCTCAAAGTGTTGCAGTAAATATAATATTACTGTATATAAAATGTAGAATTTGCTTTAAAAAGACTTGATAAGGAACATATACCTTGTTTTGTCGACAGAAATCTTTGCAGGGCCTTTCCAGATATCCTCTCCAGTGCTTGTAGACTTGCTATGGTCAACACCTTTAGATGCTCCACTGGCTGCTGCATCTGCAATGTTCTTTAGTTAGTATATTACATTTTGTATCATTATCTAAAATAATTCAACAAATGCTTGAATTGTATTGGTTTTCTGCTTGGAGCATATGTGTGGAAACTTTAAATTGTGTCCAATTACACTGAGTCAATTCCCTTTTGTGCCTTGTAGACTTATGTTTTAATGTTGTTTTAGTCATCAAAACGTTTCAAATAAAGTACTAATCAGTTAACTTTGGAATTACATGTAATATTGCAATGGAGGAAATGATCCAGCTTGTGGTGCAGTTACAACTGCCTAGATGTCAATAAAGGTAGGTAAGGTAAAGCTTAGTGGCTTATCAGGCCGGTGCTTAACTCCAGTATCCATAGCATGAATCGACTATGAGTATCGCTACTCCCCTGGATGGGATGCGCATCATTTTTGTCAGGTAGCCCTAAGAATTCGCCGGTACCCATGGATCTACTCCTGGGTGGAGAGAGGCACTGTGAGGGTTATAAGTATCTTGCACAAGAACACAACACAATGACCCAGGCCAGGGCTCGAACCCGGACCGCTTGATCCAGACTCCAACACACCATCCATTAGGCCACCGCGCCTCCCACTAACCCTACATGTTACTCATGTCAATTTCCTTCAGAAGGTAAAGGGAGAGTCTGTTTTAATCCCTAGGATTAGCTATAAAGGAACCTATCAGCTCCTCACATCAGTACCAACACTTAATTAACACTGGTTTTTATGGCACAAAGCAACTTAGTGTATTGCTGCTCTTTCAGGCTGGGATGCTGGTATATCACATCAGGTTACTTCCAGGCTTTTTGTCAGGCTACTGAAGCAAGTGTGGAGGTGTGTAGTGATCTTTTATGGATTAGTACTTTGGAATTGAGATTGGATGTTGAGAATTTGAGCCCAGCCACAAATTGTTACAAGTCCTTGTTGTGTCCTTACTTACACTTAGGCCTCTTTACACCACGTGGTGCATAAGGCCCCTTAGGGGTTTCTGTAATTGTTTGAGTTTTTACGGGGTGGGGTGATTGGCCCCATGCCCAGGGACCAAGACCCCAGCCAGCATACACTGTAGCTCTTGGGATCATTAAGACACACAAGCTTCACCACCATGACAAGATGACATGCCTGGGGTGAAGTGTTGTGTCCTTGGTAAAGGCATTAACTCTCACAGCCCCTCCCACCCAGGACTACAAAAGGTCAAGGGTTATTGCAAGGGAACAACATAATTTTATTAACCAACATGGTCAATCTTGAGTACACCTACATACCACTATCTTCATTGCTATTATCTTCAGAGTCTTCAGAGGAATCTGAGGAGTTTTTGTCTTTTTTTCTGTGATGTTTTTCCTTTTTCCTTTTTGTTGAATGTGTTTTATTTGGCAATGTTTCCTTTTCTTTTTCTTCTGCTTTGCAAGTTTCTTCCTACAAATACAAAGATTGTGAATTTAATGAAATAGTCCAGTTTTGAGTTAACCAAGACCGCAGCACTGAATAAAAAGACTTAAGACTCATGTCTTTCTTTACTCCAGAGGGGCAGCTCAAATGTGCAACTCTCAGCCAGTGAGCAAAACAGTAGACTGCATCTGATTTCTTTTCTGTACAACTTAGGGCCTATTCACATGGAGAAAAGTTGTCCCTGGTAGGAGGGTTACCCTCCCCCCAGAGCCATATTTTACCGAGCGTTTATATGAGAAAAGTTGTCCCTGTTGACCAAGCCAAAACTTAGCCCTGTCGGGTTCGTGCATGCTCTATATGTCCTGACTTGTCTCTGGTAGGTGAAATAACAATAACCAAAGTGTTTAAATGGAAAAAGGTTGGCCCCCAGGGTCACCCTACCTTCAAAGCGAGTAACCCTCCACCCAGGGTTACCCTGCCCCCCCCCCCCCGAGCCAACTTTGTGATTTCTCATGTAAACGGTTCGCTGCTATTTATAAATGAAAAATTATCTTGACCGGGGTTACTCGGTATGGAGGGTGACCCTCCTACCAGGGACAACTTTTCTCCATATAAACAGGCCCTTAGTTACGGTTGGTTGGTTGGTCTGTCGGTCGGTCAGACAGACTGACAGATGGGTCAATAATACATACTGCATCAACATTTCAATCAGCTGTAAGTCATTTGAAAACAGATTCCAGCAGTGTTTAATAAACAAGTGTTGAGCCTATCTTAGTTAAATTATTTAACTAAGATAGATTGTATACTTAGGCTCAACACTTGTTAATTAAACACTGTTGGAATCTGTTTTCAAAATTTAATGACTTACATGGTACACTCACTTATTAATTTTTGTGTGTCCCTACCTCCCCTACATTTCAATGTTGTTTGTAAAATAAAACACAATGGACACAGAGTGTGCACTCATTGTGTTATCCAACAATGTACAGGGGAAAGGATGCTCCAATGACGTGTGGCACTGATTGTATAGTTTCATACTACAATCGTGGTCAAAACTGTTGAGACACTTTACCAAATTTCAAACAATTTGAGTACTACAGCCTATTTGTTCAACCCCCCTCCCCCATTTCAATGTTGTCGCGTTGTGAAAACGATGTTAAATCGAAGCAGGATGAATTGGCAGCCCCATGAAACAACATTGAGCAGGGGGAGAGGGGGATAAAAATATTTCTACCCGCTCGTTGGTTAAGTGACTTGTGAAAAGTGTGTGATATTCATTTGTCTCAACTAGTTTTGACCACGATTGTAGATCAGTTGACTTACTTGTGATGATAGTTGAGTTTATAGGAACAATCTGGACAGAGCCCTGAGTGAAAATAATGGAATTTAGTGAAACCTGTTAGCGATAATTAATATGTCATTACATTTTTAAAATAATCAAACTGCATAAAAAATTGAAATAAAATTTCACATTAAATATGAAATTAAAAAAGTGTCACTACCATAAAATTCCAAATATAATCCCTTCTAAAAATATGCCCCCCAAATCTCAGATCCTTCCCCCCCACCCCTGAATATAAGCCCATGGGCTTATATTTAGATTTAGTTCCTAGTAAAGAAATATAGATCTTCTTCCGAATATAGCTCCCTATTATAGAACTTCTTTTGTATTTTTTTTGTTACAAAATGCTCTCAGACTTGCGGTGTCCATTAAACGAGTGTAGATAACTTGTTTTCTGTCCCATTTCATTATGTTTGAGAGTTTTGTCATGCAGTATTCTTGTATGCAAATAAAAATATTTAGATGCAAAGTCCCTTCTGATAATAACTCCCACCTCCAATAATAAGCCCACAAAAGAGGCCTTTGAAAGAATATAAGCCCAGGGCTTATATTCAGAATTTTACGTAACGTGGAAACAAATCAAATTATGAATCATACAACACATTACATACTGAGTTTTATGAGAGTATTTTTCTTTTCTCCATGTTCCACATAAGCAAAATTAACCTTAAAAACAAAATGCACAATAAAAATATTTAAATCAAACAGTATTTACCAAATTGAAGATTGAAATGACATTTCAATTTTACAACTTACCTCCCAGCTACGAAGTCCCTCACATTCTGAACACTTCTTGTCGCCACAGGTGAACTGTCCTATAAATACATTTTATATTTTGATACTACAGTCGAACCCCTATTAAGTGGCCACCAATAATTTAATACACATAGTTTGGCCTTGTTTTGGAAAAGGTGATGATAGATAACAACATTCAAACGCAGGTTTATTATCGTCTTCGTCTTCAAATAAAGTGATGTTTCTACCACGCCTTGTCTGTGATGAAACCCTATTAAGCGGCCACATTTCCCGAGAGAGTGGCCACTTAATAGGGGTAAAAACAATTATAGAAGAACCCTCATTGGGACTGCCAAAAGCTTAATAGAGCTGGCCGCTTAATAGGGGTTTTATTTACATTATTATACTGACAATAGTTTCCAGACTATTATACAGTTGAACCCCGATTAAGCGGTCACCCTCGGGGAAATGGCAAGTGGCCGCTTAATCGGGGTTGGCCATTTAAACGGGGTTTCGTCAGAAATTAGCATAAGGCATGGTATAAATGTCACTTTATTTGAATACAGCATGCTTGGAGGCTTGTGACAACTGTTGTTTGAATGTTTTAATCATTCGTCACCTTCTATTTCGGACTCTTATCAGTCATCAGGTTTATCCAAACAAGGCCAGACTACGAGTATTAGATTCTTGGTGGCCGCTTAATCAGGGTAAAAACAATAGAAAAGCCCTCATCGGGATGGCCAAAAGGTGGCCACGGGCCGTTTAATAGGGGTGGCCGCTTAATAAGGGTTTTATTTACAGTATTATACTGACAATAATTTCAGGACTTTGATAACTGGCCGCTTAACCGGGGGTGGCCGCTTAAAAGGTGACCGCTTAATCGGGGTTCAACTGTGTAACTGTATGTTACTATATGTGCACTATTAAAGCACATGGTTTTTCTTCCATAACAACTCTATATAAATTTGTCAAGTTGATCCATGAGTGCTATTTGAGTTTGAAAAGTTTTACCCGATCTAATTTAAAAGTTCTTAACTTTCACTAAATTTTCGGTGGCGTCTGTCCGCCTTCATCAGAGTGATAAAGTTTGTTAACGCTTGTGATTATGTTCGTAACTTTTAGATGATGGTTCATGTTTGTACATTTCAGATGATGTCAGTGATCCAGTGTTCTTGACATCCGTTGTGGGAAAACTGGATCAATGGGTCAAGAAATGCTCAGACTGAGAAGAGGGTGAGATCTCATGCATGATAAGAACTGATTAATACATTAGCGAGTGGAAGATTAACCTCTCCTGACCAGTACATTCACTGAACATATTAAAAAAGTTGCACCTTTTCCTTCAATGACTTCTTTTTCAATCCTCCATCTTAACGCCACCTGCAATTTGCAACAAAACAATTATTGTGATGAATGAAATGAAATGAATATATGAATGAAATCACTTATTTCATTTAAAAAAAATTATTGAAAACCATGATCATAATAAATTAATGACAAGAACAGGAGTTTTTCAAACAATACCCCAACAATGACGATCTGACTGATGTCAAAAGACAGAACAATAATAGTTACTGGAGAACAGGGGAACAGAAAACAGAGGAACAGAAAACAGAGGAACAGTGGAAACGATGAACAGTGGAACCGAGGAACAGAAGAATAGTGGAAGAGAGAACAGAAGGATAGTGGAACAGAGGAACAGAAAAATAGTGCAACAGTGGAACAGAGAAACAGTGACACAGAGGAATGGTAGAACAGAGAACAGTGGAAAAGTGGAAAGAGAGGAACAGTGGAACAGAGGAAGAGAAGAACAGTGGAAGAGAGGAACAGTGGAACATAGGAACAGAGGAACAGTGGAAGAGAGAAACAGAGGAACAGTGGAAGAGAGGAACAGTGGAAGAGCAGAACAGAGGAACAGTGGAAGAGAGGAACAGTGGAAGGGAGGAACAGAGGAGCAGTGGAATAGTCGAACAGTGGAACAGAGGAACAGAGGAACAGAGGAACAGTGGAAAGAGAGGAACAGAGGAAGAGAGGAACAGTGGAAGGGAGGAACAGTGGAACAGTGGAACAGTGGAAGAGTGGAACAGTGGAAGAGAGGAACAGAGGAGCAGTGGAAGA